CATAAATGCAGGATGGGGGAGCACTTCAATATAGGACAGGTTTTTCTTCGCTTAAACTTGTGAATGTATTCCACTCTTGATGCGTGCATATGCAGAAGACCTCACTCCAGGTGTGAGTCAACCGGCTAATTACTCGGCCGCAAATCCTGGACCAAGGTCGAAGCGGAGATGTCGTTTTGAACCCGGAATACTGTCTTCTGCGAAGTCATGTCCTGGTGCAAGGTTTTCCCGCAAAGCAGAGCGAGTCATAATATGAAGCAAATCCTCCCATCTGAGCCGGCGTCTCAGGTTGATGGCCCCGGAATGCTGCATGAGTCTGGCGGAAGCATAGACATTTCTCCGGACTTCCAGCTCCATAGAGCCTACCCGAGTTGGGTGCAGCGGGGACGGGGGTTAGGGTGATTGCAGAATGTCAGCAATCAATTGTCTAAAACACCCAACACCCTCAGGCCGCAAAAGCAACCCTAAACCCTAACCGCCCCAATCATTCGGCCGGGCTTCGACCTTTTTTTGCGCGCAGGTGTGACTTCACAGTTGATACACAAGTGCTTTGTGAGCCTTGTCTCCGCGCGTGAGATGATTGCCAATCGTTCGGGGGTCCCCCCCAAATGATAAGTCTGGAAGATTCCGGGATAAGTCTGGACAGGGCCCCTCCTAGGAGTTTGGCGAAGGCGGGGATACGTCAGGTTCGGGGATATGTCTGGATGGCTGTGGGATAAGCCTGGGCTACGGCATAGGGCTGCAAGATCCGGAAATGTTCTGGATAACGCTGTCTGGATAAGTCCGAATGCTGCTTCGACAACCCCCGCCCATTTTCGGCGGCATCAGTGACAACTGCTCTTGGCTAGTGTACAGCGAAATTCCGTTCGTCCGTTGCATGGCTCGGTCGGACTCCATTCTCCGTCGTAGCCTCGTTTTCTGGCGACCGTCTGATGGTAGTGGTGGGGCGCACACGGCCACCACCATGTCGACCTGCTACACTCCATTTGCGCGCTTCCTTCAGCTGAGATGGCATCTCTTTCGGTTCTGTTGGCTCGATTTTTCAACTACGGTACCGCAGGGCTCACCGCGATAATCTCCAGCCTGGGTCTGGAAACCTTGAGAAGGGCTACAGGAAGGTTCGGGCATGCGCGCGTGCGGAAGGCAAAGGGACACCTCCTTCCTGACAAACCTGGATCCATCGACTGCAGTGTCATTTGTTTGACCTGACAAGCTCCAGAGCACAGCATTGCGCGTGAATCTAGGGACAGGCTCTCAGACTCATTGGACAATTAATGATTTCGCTTGATATCAACAGGTGTGTATCAAGGCCTCGAGGCGGTGGAGCTCTGTGCAGTTGCATAGAAGCAGCTCCAGTGCAAAGCACCGTACAAGAAATGCAAAATGGAGCTTATTCACGCTTCCGCCC